AGGATTAATATATTGTCTATAGTAATTAATGAAATAAGTTATTAGGTAATAAATGTAAAATTTTACTTTGCAAAAGAATTTAAGATTAGTAGATGACGAAAAACACAATAAATGTGTATATAATAAATATTCTTCACGCAGATTTATTAAAAGAAAAAAAATCAATACAAACTAATTCGAAAACAAACCACCATTTTTCAAATGTTTTATTTTAGTTTTATTATCCATTTAATTTTGAATCATAATCAGTCTTAGGTTCCTGCCCCATTGGATAATAATAAATGTTGACGTAGAATTACATGCTTAAAATTAGACGATAAAGGTATAAATCTCCGCTGCTAAAATAACATCCATTCTCAGGGTGATCTTAACCTCATTTCCCAGACTGATTTTCGTAAAACAACGTAACCCAAAATATCTGTTGATTAAACATGATTACTCTGTGATAAATGTCATGCGAGATTTTAACTTTTGTACTTCCCGTTGTCAAAATAAATGATAAGAAAAATTGGTAGGAGAGCGCATGCGTCTGACAATTTTCGGCCATATTGTTATGACGCATACAAGATCATAGGTCTCCGCCAGTGACGAGTCTTCTCGCAGTTGACGTGGCTACTACGTACCGTCCCGTTCGCCCACTCCGGACGCAGCATATACGGTGACGAAGAATACGTAACTGGTGAGTGCTCGCACCGAAGACATCTTGCGGTCTGTCATGGTCGCTTCGATTTCGGTTTATAAATATGGACATTCCTTTCGCCAATAGTTCTCTATTCTTTAAGTACGAGTTTAGTAGACTTGTAAATATATTGCGTGTTGACTGACATACGCAATAGGAAAATTTTCCAACTATGACGCGATGATGCCGTTTTAGGATTTCTTTATCAACAGTGTGGTTCCATGCGAACCAGATTATGACACTAAACAAATGTATTTACAAGTTTTGAATACAAAACGTTCAAGGAATGCACAGAATGGTGACCTTGAATATTTTAGGTGACCTTAGTGGGAATGGAGGGAATGGTGGAGGAGAACGGCACGTCCGGTGGCGCGGGCGGTACAGACCCGTTGACGAACACTTCTGCTCCCGCCGCATCGCCGCATGTCGTCGCTGCCACCAGCATCGTGCAGCTCAGCCTACCTGCACAATCTCCCTCAGTCCAGGTGAATTCATTACAATTTGCAACTACCATAAAAGTATATAGTATTTACAATGTTAAGTCACCAATTCAGTGTATAAAAATAACTATTTCTTAATTTCAGGCCCAATCAGTTATTCAACCTAATCAACAATCAGTGATACAAACAGCTTCTAATATACAATCTGTGCAATTACCTAAAGGAAATGTTATACTTGTCAGTAAGCCAAGCTCTGTCATACACACAACACAAGGAACACTACAAACATTACAGGTACTGGAATTACTAAATTAGTTTGTTTGTGCTATTGAGTTTTTAGATAAGTGATAGATAAATTCTTGTTGGACCACAGATTAAACCAGAACCAAATACAGTAGTGAGCACTCAGGGACAGTCTTGCACTGATGACAGCGGTAGTGATGATGAGAGCCCTAAAAGGAAATATCGTGAGATGTTAACAAGACGTCCCTCATACAGAAAGATACTCAATGATCTTGGAGGTGCTGAAATTGCTGGTGAGTTAATGCATTGATGTTTTTACTGTGTTTTATTTTTATTATTAAACATAAGTTGACATAATTCAACTAAATGTAAAGGTTGTGCTTCAATCTATGAATGAAAATTTGCATTTTAATATTGTTCCATTGATAGAGACTTATGGAAAAAAGTACTGACAAAAACAGCATGCACGCCTATTAATGAAAGCCTAAATAATAATTTAAACAATTCCTATTATTTAAAAGAAACTGTATGTATGCAAATGTATTTATATACTTAATTGTAACATTTTTCCTTAGTGTTTATGTAGTTTGAAGTGAACTCAAATTATATGTAACACAAATGCAATGCACTGTTTACTATTGACAAATATCTGGACAATGAAAGGAGAAATTTTATATAATTATAACATGTAGTTTTATAATAATTCGGAAGTAAGTGTACATGAATTAATTGGCCAACATACAAACCATGCAAGTAGGCAGGAGTATAAGTACATGGTGATAATTGCAGAAAATCGCATGGGCTCTAAACCGGGATGTGAGAATGAAGTTTCGCTGTCAGCTCCTTTGTCGTTTGCACCAGGTCAGTTCAATGTGCTGCCATCGACTCCGTTTGTGTGGACATTTGTGTCACTAACCTATTGAACCATAATAACTGTCTCAAAATGTTTTATAACATCAGTTTCACTTTCATAATCCTCATGTCATTTAGTTGATTTGTTGTCATTTTCAAAGCCTATGTCTATCACACAACAATTTTATGTGCACAGAACAAGGAGAACCTATGGGACTTAATGTTTTTGTTTTATGGAAATAAAAAGATGTCATTTTAATTACTTTAAATAGGAGTAAAAATGAATGTTGTTTACTTTTATTGAAAGTCATTAAAAATCGATTGATTAAGGTTTTTATATTATAAGTGTTCAATACTATTGCTTTATTCATTTAACTTTATTAACATGTAGGTTAAATTGTTTTGCTTAAATTTTAATTATTAATCTTGAAATACAGTTGGTATATTTTAAAAACCTATAAACCTTTGTGTAAGATGGATAGTCATAAATAGAATGTGCAATCCTAGGTATAAAAGAGTTATATTAACTATACAAATTGACATGACAGAAACATTTTTATTCTTGTTATATTATGGACCGACTTCCCAAAATAAGGAGGTACTCAATTCCGCTGTATTTTTTTTTGTACATTCTATGTAGGAACTAACAGTAACCATGAATTTCTTTTTTTTTTCAATGACTATTTGAGTTAAGATGTTTGGTTCTGTCCAAGTATGATTTGAAATATGTTGTTGAAGCAGATATTGTAATGATAGTTGATATGAGATTTATTCATAGCCAAGTCATGATTGGATCTATGGATGTTAATATAGTGAAGTGTGCCAGAATTGTGTTGAGTAGACATCTACACTACAATTTATTTAGTGTAAGTGCCATTGAACCTGTAGATGAATCTCTGGTCATTTCATCTATTCTTGAAGGAGTTAAAACATCGTTTGGTCATTGAGTTTATTAAATGAGTAATTTGTATTTACAATATAATAATATTAAGAAAATTTACACAAACTCTGGTTGAAACTGTACTTCTAAGTTCCTTTGTTTTGCAACTTATTTTACTGGGACCGAATGACGTCATGTTGATTACCTCATACTCGATTACGTCATCCGTTGAGAATACGATGAAACATGCCTTCGGCGCGAGCGGCGAATGTATTTATATAAAATGTTATTAGTCATGTTTTAAATTCTTAATCCAATACTTCTTTACAATATAGATCATTGTAGAAATGTTCTACAGTTTCGTAATGAAATGTTGAAAGTTGGATGTTTGTTAATTAGACAGAATAAGAGTTATAGAATTATTAAGCTTATTGAAATTATGTATTCAATGCTAAAAAATAGCTTTCTATAGCTAATTGTTAATATTAAATAATGTAAATAACATAATAATAGTTTGTGATTTGAGCTTTTTCTCTGTGGAAGGTTATTACGAAAATCGAACTTAAAAAACACTAAATGTTGTCATAGTTAACATCACTATGGTGTAATGCTGGCTATTAAGACCGTAATAATTTAAGAGTGGAGCTTGAGATGATTAAAAGCACAATCTTTATATTTTTTTAACCAAACAACGATGGAAATCCTTTGTCAAACAGATGTATTTACCTAGAGAACTTAATGTAACCAGTATTTCTGAATAGTAATTCCAGCGGGCGCGCTGCAGACGGAGAGCGGGCTGCACACGCTGGCGGTGTCGGGGGCGGCCGGCGGCGGTACCATCGTCCAATACGCGACGAACCAAGATGGACAGTTTTATGTGCCGGGTTAGTATATAGTTTTGATATCATCTTGTGATCCAACATTTTGGCATTTTAGAAATGTTTGTAGAAGAAACGAACAAATCGTACTATAATTTTAGGTCCCATGTTAGAAGACCAAACGCGCAAACGGGAGTTAAGATTACTGAAAAATCGAGAAGCAGCTAGAGAATGTCGCCGTAAAAAAAAAGAATACATAAAGTGTTTGGAGAATAGAGTGGCGGTATTGGAAAATCAAAACAAAGCATTAATAGAAGAACTTAAGTCCCTAAAAGAACTCTACTGCCAACAAAAAACAGAATGAGGCCCAGCCGGCTAACCAGGTGTGCCGCTGCCCCGCCGGTGAGACTTTACAGGCACGCGTTGCTACGTCATGCTGCGTTTAGAGTGATACCTACTTGGTTCCGTCTCATAAAGTACTTTAGCGCATATGCCAGTTTTTATAGACTTTTAAACATCTCAATTAATGTGAAAATAAACAGTTTAAGACATCAAAGTCGCGCTGATGAGTGTCAAATGTCGTTTAGAAATCTCTTAGTTTTATATGGAAATTTTGTAAGTAGGGCAATTCTAAAGCGCAGTAGTGCATGTGTACGCCGCGCCGCCGCGCGCCCGCGCGTTGTCACAAGTGGCTTGAGCTGTAACGTTCATACAGGGTGCCCCCGTGGGTGTCAATAAAAACTGTGTATATTTTAATGTAAATAGAGAGATAACAAAACAAACCACTTCTCTATATAAGAAGTGTTATAATTCAATTAAAATTCTAAATGAAAATGATTTGGCATATAGCTTGTGTTACATTAACATTGTTATACTTTATATGTTAACTGTTTATATCTATGTTTATCTGCATGTTGTTGTTTTAAACATTTTGTTTTAAATATTTTTATTATTTCTCTAAGAACTAATGCCTTCTCTAGTGACATCCTGTTGTTGTCACACATACAAATATGTTCGCATATTGTTTTCTTATTTAATACTTGTCATTGTATGTACCATTCCAAAATATTCATAAGAAGAGCTGGTTCCATATAAAGAATGTTGACATTTGTGCCATTTTGGTTAAACTTATTTTTTTTACTATACAGTAATGTTTAAACCGAGAATACGAATTTCCTTTTCTTTGTTTTAATATCGCTAGCAATAACGTTTTCTCATGTTGAAGGTATAGATTGAAGAATAGGAAACCATGATTTTCTGTTGGGTTTAAGTCACATACAATTTTGTGATACAACTTGTATTGATTTGACATTATAATAAAAGTAATGTTTGAAATGTTAAATGCACTCGGTGGTAATTTGGAGAATGTGATATAATAATTTCATGATAGTTGCCGCTGGTGTCAATTTAACGAGATAATACTGGTAAAAGTTTATGTATTCTTTCATTGACTTACAAAGTTGCTTAAGTATTCACAACACTAATGAAGGGTGTTTTTTGTAATGTGTAAGCCAAAGTTAATATTTAGTTTTTTTTGTGCAATAGTTTATTGCATTGTATAATAGAGTTTTGTAATTTTTCTTCAATAAAAATTAATTTGTAATAAATCTGAGATGAAAATGATGTAAATTGTATAAAGATAGTTCAGTAAAATAGTGTATAAATAAAAATTGAATTATTTTGTATATACACAATGTAATATTAAAGTGGCTGATGTTGCATATCACCAACAAGAACTCTCACTTCGACCTCTTTAGTATAAAAAAATATTGTTGACACTTGTACCAGACGCCATAACTTCTTTGACGTTCACAGATTATATTATTGTATTTTTTGTGGAAGGGTAATTTTAACTATCAGAGATATATTATTTAAGGTTTTATAAGAGAATGTATCACACGCCATGATAGATTAGCTACATTAAGATTGATTTATTTTTCAATATTTTTTGTAAAGGTTATTAGGTAATTTGATTGTAGTTGTATATAATGTAGTCCAATCTGTCATGGTATGTGATTTTTATATTAATGATAAAATTGTGGAAAGTGCCTTTCAATTTAGAATAAATAAATTTATACCAACATAGCTTTTTATGTTAACTTATGCTATTTATAAATATTAATAATATTAACTGTTTGATGTAAGGTGGTCTTCTTTTTTTTTAAATTTTATAAAACATCCTAAGTTGTTGTGCTATGACAGGTGGTATCCTAAAGATTTTCGTACTCTAATTCCGGTATTAAAAAGTAATTGTTTACCAGCCAAATGTAGATGACATTATTATTAGTCACAGCTATGAGGTTCCTTTTTATGTTATAATTTGATAAATTTCTCAATTTTAAATAACTTTACCAAGATTGGTTTAAAAAATGGAAAACAAAAATGTTTATTTTACTGGACTTCCAGAGATTTTATGAAAATAGCTGACCCAGTGCAGGTTGGTTGACTTCACAAATCTTATTTCTCTGCAATTATGTGCTGATTACGTTTCGTTGTTTTCCTGCACTTTAAGAACGTCAGATAAGTTTACATATGAATTTTGGAAAACATATGTAGATATTGTGGAGATCGAACCCAGACAGGTCCTGCAGATTACAATTCCAACCACTGCGACACCGACGCTCTTCTATAAATATAAGAATGGAATGTTTTTTCGTTTTATTGGCATTTGGATATTTCATTTATGAAGAGAGAATATGTTAAAAAATTGTTAACCTACCACTGTTACCCTAAACAAGAGGTAGAGTGTTTATACAATTATTCATTGCAGCCGATTGAGGTAAACGTCACATTCAAGCTTCTCACTTACGACATTCAAAATATATCTATATTCGAACAAGTATGAATTTGTTAAAAAATTAGATTTGTTTCGATCAACATTACGTCATATAGTGAAAGATTTGTCCGGTTTAGAATTTGCCTAATCGAAGTGTAATCTAACAAAGTTCACCATCAGTGACAACGTTACTTTCGCAACTCATACGTCCAGCCCGAGAAGTATAGTGTAACATTTCTTAAAAAAATAAAAAGTGATTTATAAAGCAACTAGCTTTCGCCCGCGACTACGTCCGCGAAGAATTAAAAAAAAAGTGAGTAGCCCATGTCTTTTTCCAGACAATCCTCTACACCTATACCAAATTTCATCAAGATTCGTTCAGCACTTTAGGCTACAAACTGTAACAAACATACATCTAATCTTTCGCATTTATAACAGTATGACTTCGTCCCTTACATTCTCGTTAAATGACAGAGACAGAAATATGTCGCGGTTGAAAAATTAGTTCGTAGTCTATGATGTTGATTGGACATTAAAAGTTTATTATTTAGTACCACTATAAAGGCGCCCAGTTTATCTCTAATGACCATCTTTACCGAAGACGTAAGGTTATATAAATGTATTTATTTAATAAAATAGATCCTTGCTTCCTTGAATATTTTTTTTTCATTACTAGCTGTTGCCCGCGACTTCGTCCGCGTGGTATTAGAAAACATACGAACTATATAAATAACAAAAAGCTTATCCCACATGTCCTCCAGACTTTGTCGGTCGGCACAGTATGTGCTGCTCTTCCATACATCTAAAGTCCTCCAGACTTTGTTTTATATCTGTACCAAATTTCAATAAGATATCTTAAACCGTTGCAGAATGATCGAGTAAACATTAAAAAACTAAATTAATAAATCTCACGGGAACCGTAACTATTCTCGGGATAAAAAGTAGCCTGTGTGTTCTTCCAGACTATGCTCTAAACATGTACCAAATTAAATGGAGATCCGTTCAGCCGTTTAGGCTACAAACGCTAACAAACATCCATCGTAACTTTCGCATTTATAATATTTATATGATTATATGATATATATATATAGTACAAAAAAAACAGTAGTATTAAAACGTGACAAATGAATAGTTTGTTTTCTAGAGGTACGAACAATTCTTAAAGATTTCCTCAAGACAGCATTCAGAATTTTAAAATACTAAACTGAAACTTGCCATGACCAGCAGCGGCACCACACCGTCAACGCTCGCTGTTTGTTGGTTTCTTGTTTAAAGGATATGGAGTGACAAAAAACCAACAAAGGATCTGTCCATCAGAGTGCAGCAATGGACGGTATTCACTTTTGGTGCCTTTTTTTGCCATAACGATTAAAACAAATTTGAATCATAATCTCCCCTGCCTTATCCTACTCCAGTAGCGTCGGCGCACCGGATTTTCGTCCTCCAAATAACTCTATCATCCGTCATCTCAGTCATCACTCCCTTCTTGAGCATTTCACCACGCAATCCATCCATCCATCTCTTTTTAGGTCTACCTCTACCGGTGTACCCCTTCACATTCATAACTAACGTCCGTCTTGTTACATGCGAATCATCCCTTCTCATAACATGCACATACCACTTTAACCTTTGAATAGAATTAAAATTTAAATTCGACGAAAAAGATTATAACGCATAAAGACAATCTCGTTAATACATTGCTTAATATTGTAAGTTTTTTTTAGTATAAGGATGCAAACTAACGAGCGGCTACTTGAATATACTGAAAATTGCTACTGTCTATAGACATCCACAGTTGCAAATACTTTGCCTCTCTTTAAACGGCAGAGCAAAGGGCACTTAGAGATGATTTTTACCATCCTATTTATCCACTCCAGCTAATCCTATCCAATCTTATTTTGATGTACCTTTAGTAGAAGGTGAATGTATGCAGAATATAAATATGTACATGTGCTTTCAAGACTAGTAAAGACTTAAGCTATGGTAACCCATAGGCCTTGGGGATTTATTTAAAATACTGAAGTAGATAGTTTAATGTTAATGGAATTCACTGTTAGTTTGACATTACATAGTCAAGTGTGGTATATAAATATTTAAACTAGAGTAGAACATAACAAAGAAATCCCAAAGTGCCACTTTACCTGGATAGTATATTAAAGAATACACATTACATTACTTGCCAAAAGTAAGCCTCAACCTTATGTTGAAAATAAAAAAGGAATGTTTTTCTTTATTTCTTTTAATAGTAAACAATATACAAGTAGGAAAGGAATTTCAATTAAAACACATTTTCTTAGATGAGTGAATAAACAATAAAATTTTATTATATTTATGACAAATTGTGTAATTCTATGTGAAAAGTCACATGAAATATTTAAAGCAAACAAGTATTAGGCTGTTGATGATAACAGTAGTTACACTGTTTTTTTTGTTAATGTTTTTATATCCCATACTCACTGAATTGATAAAGTGCAGCGATTTGCGTCAATCATCAAAGTTTTGTGACAACAGAAAGTTTGCTGCAAGATTTTCATTTTTTTCACAAGCAAAATATGCTTGAACAACCATGTGTTCAGGGAAGCCTAGTGCCTTTAACCGTTCAATGGCCTCTCTATCTTGTGGTGACACCTGGACCACACTTTGTGGTTGTTGTGGGATTGGGTTGTCCACCCCACTGTCTTGAATGACTGCCCCGGTAGCAGGTGGGTTTACAGGCTCATTTAGCATTCTCACAAAGGCTTGCTGGTGTTGACTGATAGCTTGCAAAAGTGCAGGATTTGTTTGTCCAATTTGCTGAAGAACAGTATTCAGCAAACTAGGATTTTGTTGGATTACAGCACGCATTTGCTGAAATTGTGGTTGGTCTCGAAGAAAGGATAAAGGATCCTCTTCAGAACTTTCTTCGGCCTCTTGTTCTTGAAGTAGCTCTTCTGGAATACCTGTGATTAAATATTCCACTGCCCGTTCCCGATTACTAAAAGAAGCTCGCAAGGCTTGTTCTACTTGTTGCCTATTGTAACCCATATCCATGATGCTTTGAACAGTTGATTCAAAATCGAGCTCAGCGGATATAACTGGTGCAGCAGGCTCAGCAGTACGTTCAGGCTCAGCCGCTGTTGGCGGCTGAGGCGTTTCTTCGGCAGTGCTTTTGTCTTTGCTATCACCGACTACAGTCGAAGCAGCACATTCTCCCGCCTCGGGAGTTGAAGTCGACGACGCTTGTGTTTCACTTGGTTTCGGTTTTGTCACCATAATAACAATGAATTTCTTCTCATCTATGTTATATGTACTTATCTTATTGTCGTCGAGTAAAATCTTTCCCGCATAAATAAGCCTTTGATAGTCTGCTGCATAGTCTTTACCTTTTTCCACTTCAATTTTAAGTTTCAGTGCTTTGACAGTTTCCTCGGGATCTATCTCTATTTGAAAAGATAGTTGTTGTAACGTTTTTAAAGTCACCAACATATTGTTGTTGCTGTTATTGCTCGTGAAATGAATCCGCAGATATTTGATCTGACTCGACAAAATTAACCAGTAAACATAACCTCCTTGCCAAGATCACCTTTTTTTAAATGTCATCAATGATCGGATATTACTCATAGTCTTTTGCACTCGGTTCATCCACGTGTTTAATTTTTAACAAAATATAATTTATAATAAATAAAAAAATATGTAAATTAAAGATTTAAAAAAAATTAAGAAGATTCTCAAAACAAAAAAGATTAAAAATAAAATTAGTCTTTCACAAATCCATATTGAAATATCGTTCTCGTGTTTTCTCTGTCAAACGAAAATCTTTCTGTTTTCAAGATACCCACTACCCACAAATATAAAAAAACAATACTAGGAAAATAAAACATTTTTTTTCACTAAACTATCATTACTTTTATACTTGCTTATTGCAATAATGAAATTATATAAAATATTGCTTGATTTTTATTGTATACTACCTACTTATTTTACTCATTCTGATTTATAACTTACGAAAAAGTAATAAAAAAAGGATCTAATGGAATATACATGGCACCAGTAGCTTAGATGTACCAAGATTAATTCAAAACTCAAATTTAAATTAATAACACCCGCCTACTGGTAGTGACGAGTTACCTAATAGGTTTAACTCTGTTATAAGAAATAAATAAAACACGACTAGTTGATTATATATTAAATTTCGATTAATCATTAAAAAGTTACATAAATGTTTTTTCGCATTTATTGTACCAAGTTTTCGGTACAGCTTTCATAATACCCTTCAGTTTTATTATTATAAAAGTAGCTATGTCAACAATGGATAATTCGTTTTTGTAGATCCATCCTTTACATTGAGAGAAGATTTGGGTCATAATGTCTTCCATCTGTTTTCCAGACGTCTTCTCTAATAAATGGCATTGATCCAGTAAATTGTCTACATAGTAGTCAGTTTGATCATATTGTATGACTGTTGGGTAAAGTAAGCAAAGGTAGCGAAGTATGTTCACAATGCCTACTAAAGGCACTTCTAGCGATGACATCCTTAATTCTGCAGAGGCTGAAACTGAGAAGTTAAGATTTCAAATAATTGTAATTATAATTTAAGAATTACTAAAAATTTTATCTGTCTTATAGTACATTGTAGTGCATTTTCAATTTGTTAAAAAAAACCTTAATAACTTGTCCTTCATGCAGAAACAGATTAACTAGGTTGGTGAAGCTGTTTCTACCCACCATTTTTGAATATCAGTCTCAAATTGGTTCTTTTCTTCAATTCTCCAGGATAAGTCTCTTTTAAATTGTTGAGGCTCAATTGTGGCCTATCTCTAAAAAAATCTTTGATCTTTAAACTATCATCAGTTGACACTGATGAGTGAATATGCCATGTTACATGTAGCTTGGGATTTTCTTTTAGGAACAATCCAAGAAAACATGGCATAATTTTGGGATCAAGCACTACTACAATTTCTTCTGGTGCTGTTATCTGTAAAATAAAAAATACCTATATATGTTCTTCTTTCGCATTCTATCTGTAATACTAGAACATTTTAACCCTATTGCATAAATATTTTATTATTGTTATACCATATTCTTGATCATATTAATTTTGCATTCATATAAACAATAGGCGCCTTGTGAGTAGCAGTAACCAATGTAAACTTTATATTAAATACCAACTAACACAGGGTCATGACTATTTACCACAAAAATAAATGTAAAACATTTACAATCATTTACATTTTGAAGTGGTAATTGTACAAGGTACAATCAGTTTTCCAGACAGTATCACAAGCTATTAAATGCTATAATAAGTGAGATATACCAGTTCCAGTTTCTTTGTAGCAATGTTAGGTTGGACATCTAATTTGCATAAAGTACTGATTGTTTTAATTCTATCATAAAGCACATCCAATTTTTGCAACAGCTGAGTTTGTCTTTGTTCTAATTCTATCATGGTTTTGTTGGGTGATCTCTGGAAAGTAAATAAATAAATGATTTTGCAAAAATAGTTGATCATTAAAAAAAGCAATTCATTTGTATGATATAGTCATGACAAAATTCAATGACATATTTATATTATCAATACGATTTTGGTATGGTACGATTTATATTTATAACAAAAGTTAAATATAATAATATTCGATGAACATGAACAACATAAAAATAACAAATCTTGTTAAATCGTAAGACATTTAATATATTTCTTATTAGATTTTATTAGAAGTGTTTAAACTAGTTGAAATGATATTGAAATAAACCTTAAGAAACCTCATAACCTGGTCACTGATATTAAGTTCTACTTCATCTATTTTCAAGTTATTATTTGGATTCTTTAAATGATACATGCACTGTGGTAATATTATATTATCTTCCAAGGGAACGATCGTTTTCATGTGATACATTTTTATTAAACACACGTAGACACCAACCAGAAACTACACTAATAGCCAATTTTTTTGAAGAGAATTAAAATCGATTCTCTCCTGCAAAGGAAATAAGAGAAACCTAACCTAATCCTACCTATCGTCATCTATAGTTCGACAAGAATTTTATGGCAGTCGGAAAATATGTGTACTAACAATGTCATAGTGACAGCTAAGATGTTTAATTTTGATCAATGAAGGAGCGGGAGCTTCGCGGTAAGTGCTGCCGTACCTAGGATTTCGAAATTCCAGAAAAAATATTTAAACTATAAGTTTTATGACCACGGGTGTGACATATCAACAACATGAAATACTCGTTGTTGTTTAAGCTGAATATAATCACATTTAAAAAGTTTACCTTGTCTTTTTAAATAATCCTAGTCATATCAATTTATGTGGACGTTTCGTTTTAATAAGAAGCTACTTAAGGATACTCTAGCTATATCAGTTTTAAATTCTCTGTTTCATTTGTTTCCTTTTTAGATTGAGAGAATTTCCGTAGAAGTTAGGAACATTTGGCATTCTGGTAACCTTTAAGAACGATTCGTGGGGGCCTTTTTTTCAATGTCAAAAAATTGCTGCACTGTAAAATAAATAAAATAAAGTACACATTCTCTGTGGTAAAATACAACATGAACTGGCGGGAACTCCTCAAAGGTATATTGCAACACTTTGTGTTCGTTTTATTGTCATTTTTTGTGGAATGGAAAAAGGAAATTGAACCCGTCGCCCAGGATTTTACTTACTTTTATAATTTGAACCATTAAATAAACCCCCCTGTAGTCCCTGTATTTTATATCCTCTTCGCTGTAGTCCCTTCTCATCCAGTTGGTAAAAGTTATTGTTTATTGTCATTATGGAGTTGCCATTGAAATAAATGAGTTATCGCAGTTCGCTTCATTTCCGTCTATAATGTTTTAACTTTTTATACTCCTGATAAGACTAACATTTATTGTGAATTTAGTCGAATTTTCGTGTGTACATGTTTATTTCCGAAATATGTATATTTTTGTTATATCCATATTTTGACCGATTTTTACTATAATAAAGCTTATCTTTTTGCGAAAACGCTCTATCATAAATGGGGAAAAAAATATTCATCAATTTCTACAATGATGTAATTAGTACTCAAAACGTCTAAGAAATTGGATAAGTGGATATTTGGATATTTTGGAACTGCCAGTAATTTACACAAGTCGAGCACTTTTTATTTTATTTTAAACTATAGTCCCTTGTCTATAATGTTGGTATGTTTTTTCCGCTTTGTTTAGCATTCATACATCCTTTAAATATGAATTTTGCAGTATAATAGTGCTGAAGTTATAAATTTTAAAGAAATCTTTATTTTTGAGTAAAATACACTGAAAGAAATTCAAAACAAGGAGTTATTTGATCATTAAAACTTCTAGGTTTTATTTTGACATTTTTGTTCGGAAAAAGGAAAATGGCTGCCGACGACGCAGATCCAAACTTCTACTTTTTATTCTAGACAAGTGATTGGTGTAATTAATACTTCTGAATCTTATTACGTATGCTGTAATTTTTCTTTTAAATATTGATAGACTATAACAATACTTGTGAAGAATATTTAGTCCTAGATTGTTTCATTGGGATTATATTCAATAACCCACAAGTTACAAAAACGATATGGCGGACTGATTATTGACCAATGGGAAGAGAGCTTCGAGCGTTTCAGAATTGCATGTACCTATTCACATTTCGCGTCATTACGATTTTGGTGCCTTCTTTCTTTGATAAAATTTGAGTAGTACTTGTCTGTTATCAGTGAACTGCCTTGTTATTAATTAACTGTGGAAAAAAATTGTGTGAATTGTGTTATAAAAGTTATGACATTAAGTTTGTAGTACGCATCTCAAACGGCTGGGATCATGAATGCTATAGATTTAAGATGAATCTAAATACAATTAGATACATGGTTTTGTTGTTGTAAACAAGAATGTGTTTGCAATACACGTGCAAAATAGTTGATAATTGACAGTTGATAGTAATGATGTCGGGCAGGGGGGCGAAAAAACGCGGGAGGCCCCCTAAATCAGCAAGTTTTGAAAAAAATAGGAAATTTCAGTTCCATTTATTGAAAAAGCCAAAATATTTACAAAATCAAAATATTGGATCTGGCTCTCTTGTAAGTACTCCGTCGGCGTCCAGAGCTTCATCTCCTCAAGGAAGCGATATCAGTAGACGTAGTACTAGAAAACAAAGAGGCGGAAAAACACATAAGAGTAAAAGAGGCGGTTTATCAAATTCCTATTCCCGGAGGGGATACAATCCTCAAGCTGCGGAATATCACGAATCAGAATATCATTATGGATCCGATTTTGGAGACGAGTTTAGTGACCGATCGGAGCCGGAAGAGGACCGAGCCAGCGATAGTTCGGAGGGGAGTATCGCGGCTGATGGCGCAGCCAGTGATAGTGACTTCTCTATTACCAGTTGTAGTTCGACAGGTGGTACTCCCCGAAAAGTTAATAGCAATTTAATTAGACCTCCCAGCCCTGACCCGTTGTGGCTACAAGAAGAAAGAAAAATCCCTCCACTGGAATTGCCCTGTTCATCTGATGACCTTATTATTCCCCATAACTTAGTGCTGCAAGTTGTTGGTATTTATGAAGTGCTGCGTCACTTCAGGCATCTTGTAAGGTTGTCACCATTTCGGTTAGAAGATTTGTGTGCAGCTATAAGCTGTGAGGATCAAAGCAACTTGCTAATAGAAATACATATAATGTTGCTAAAGGCATTGTTAAGAGAAGAGGATGCACAACAAACACATTTTGGTCCTTTAGATCATAAAGATAGTGTAAATATTACTTTGTTTTTGTTGGATGTTATGACTTGGCCTGAAGTCCTGAGAGTGTATGTTGAAAGTGATAAATCATTTGACCAAAATGTAGCAAAGATATTAAATTCATGTGAATATCCATTCACATGTGTGGAAGATCGTGTCAATGTGTTGCAGTTCTTGTGTAATCAATTTCTAATAACAAACCCTGTTCGTGATGACCTCATAAGTGAAGGTTAGTATTGTGAAATACTCCAAATTAAATTAAACATTTTTCACGAATTTGAAAGTTCAGAAATTGTATAATTTTTTTTTAAATATTCTAATTTCTATCTACCTTCCTAGTACATAATGTGAAGGGTGATTTTTAGTGGTAAGCTATGGCTTACAAGTATTAAGTTGTAAGGCATGCCTTTCTCCATTTACTTATCTGACTATTATTTAATAGTATTAAATCATGTGTTTCCTATTTACAAAAATTTTCTTACATGTTTTAAGCTAAGCACATAGTTCATTTTTATAAACATTGACTTTACATAGTGAAATGCACTGTACAACATAACATTTCTTATTTAACATTTGTATGTTTAGACTATAGAACTGATTAAGTGGAAAGAGATAATATTAGTTTAGATAATTACAAATTTATATGTTTCAATACAGGTCCTGTGCTATATGATGACCATTGTCGAGTTTGCCATCGCCTTGGGGATTTGTTGTGCTGTGAAACTTGTCCTGCAGTGTTTCACTTGGAATGTGTTGATCCTCCTCTTGTTGATGTGCCTTCAGAGGACTGGCAATGTGCCTTGTGTAAACAGCATAAAACTGTGGGTGTGACTGACTGTCTGCCAGATGCAGAGAAACAGGGTCTACTTTGCCGTCATGAACATTTGGGATTTGATAGACATGGCAGAAAGTATTGGTTTATAGCAAGACGCATATTTATGTAAGTAATTTAGGCTTCCTTATTTTTCCATTAAGTCACAATGAAGTGTAATATGTGTTTTAGTGAGGGATTAATTAAAAAGTAAGAAAATATATTATTTCAGAGAGGCTGAAAATGGTGATGTCTGGTACTATACAACTTCACAACAATTTCAAGAATTCTTTCAAAGATTAGATGGTGATGAAATGGAAGCACCACTTGTGAGAGAGCTTTTAGAAATGAAGGAAGAAATAACTAGGCAAATGGATATAACTGAAAAACTAACGAGTCAAGTGAAAGGAAACAGAAAGTCTTACTTGGAGGTGGAGAATGCTAATTTAATCAAAGAGAGAAGTTTAAGAGAACAACAAAAACATAATGAACATGATCTGAGGATAGATGATAGTAAAGATGAAAATGAATTATCCTTAGATGCTGATAGTGATGTAGTTAATGAAGTTACCATCACCAGTGATGAAACCCCGAAAGAAGATAGTGATGGATATCAAGATTTTGATGATGACGATTGTAAAAGACAAAAAAATAATCAACATAGTAAAACGAAATTATCAACGCAAAAGAAAAATGATGAAGGTATTTATTTCTTGATTTTGCAAGAGTTACAATGAGCAAACATAATGGACACTTGATTCTTACAATCATGTTCACCAATTGAAGTAAATTAATATTAAACTGAGGGTAATTTTACCATAATTTTATCTATATCTTTGTTTGTTTTTCAGGTACTGAAAGGTTAACAAGATTGAAATCTAATCAAATTTCAAATGGAACTTACCTTTTTAAATTGGGAAATGAGAATGCATTCAAATCTTATATAAACCAGTATACATGCAACCCTTTAGCTTTAAACAAACCACAAAGAAATGAAGAAAGAGACAAAAAGAGATACATTTCACATAAGTTCTCTCTGTCATCAGGACAAGAATTCAAGTGGATTGGATTACTCAATGGTATGTTTTTACAATTTATTCTGAAATATACGTTTGAACAATATTATCACAATGTCTTTATTTTCAGCGACTAAACCACTGTTGGTGGCAACATTAAGACAAACACTTCTAAACTTGGAGTCCAATATAGTTTTGCAATTTATGCATCCAAATTGGTCTTTGCTGAGAAAGCCATGGGTACAAGCTGTACAGTTATGCCAAGCACCAAGAGATTTTGCAAGAGCTCTTTGTGTTTTACAGGTAAGGAGTACTTTACACCATTATAATTTTATTTTTCTTTAATGTTTTAGCTATAATCATTGTATATGAAAATTAATATAATTTCTCAGGCTTGTATCAAAAGTGTAGCGTGGATGCAGGCCTGGCATGAACAGTTAGGTCATGTGAGGTTAATAAGAACCACAGCTGCAGAACGAGAAGAACGTAAGAAGTTGGACAAAAGAGAGAAAAAAGAGAGAGATGAGGAAGAAGAAAGATACAGAACTGCATACAATTTTGTAAAATACTCATTAGGGTTACGCCATCAGGTGAATATACAGTTTTTTTTTTTATTTAAATCAAAAAAAATTAACACTGAGGTAAAACCAATACATAATACTCTATGTTGTATTTTCATCACTACAAGTTACGGTTGGCATACAGAATCAATGATAAACAACCATACAAAAACAAATCAAACATGTAAGATTCACAATAATTATTTTTTGGTTCAAATATTGTCGTTACATTTTTAGGTATGGAAACAAAAAGGAGAAGAATACAGAATTCATGGGCAATGGGGTTGGTTATGGAATTCCACCACAAGGAAATTTAAAAAACACAATGCAAATCCCAAGTCAACTCTACTGAATGGTCCTGCAAAAATGGCTGTAAGAGTCAGGGAAGGGAACACAATAAAAGTATTAGCAGTTGAACCCAAAACCTATGAATATCTCACATCTGATACTACAGATGAAGATGTGCTACAAAAATGTGAGTTTCATCTTCTTAAATAAATAGAGTCTATTATTATAATATTTTGTGTTGTGTTACTTATCTAGGGTATTTTTTGACAGTACCACCTTCGATGCGCTACATGAAGCTTGAAAAAGAATGTGACGATTTTGAAGAAATAGATGTAGAAAAGTCTTTAAGTTCTTCAACTCGAAGGTATTACCCAAAAATTGCTAGAAAATCTAAATTAGATGACTTCCTTGCGCGACGTACATATTTGAAATTTATGGAAGAGAAGAAGTTAAATAATTTACTTGCCAATATAAAGAAGGAGGAGGAGGTAGATGTAAAGAGTGAAGAAGAGAAAAATATAGATGTGGAATCTGAAGATACTGAGATAGACCCAACATCCATGTGTGAACCAACTGTTGACTTGAAGCCAAAGTTATCCAGCAACATAGCTAAAAATGTTGATGGTTTGAGAGATCAGTACCAGAAACTGAATCAGTTAACGAAACATTATAAATGTTATTCACCCGGCTGCAACAAAGTTGAAACATCAGTCAAGGCTGCCAATTTTAAAGTCAATTGCTATTCTCCTCTATGTATTGAAAAAGGAAAGTTATTGAATGAACTTTTATCGGTGTTAAAAGATGGCACTATTAACTCAACTCATTTACTCAATTCAAATGAAAACAATAAAATGTCAATTTTAGAACAATACCTTCTAGGAAAGAGTTCAAATTCTAAAGAGAATATTTTAACTGATTTACTGTCTGCGGTAGCGTGTGCACAAGAATGTGATAATAAAAACACAGACTGTTTCGTAAAAAGGAAATCTAGTGACGGGTCTGATGGTATTAAGCATGAAAAGATGGACGGTGATCCATCAATGTGTCTTATAAAATCTGAGAGTACCTTAGAAGAAGAAGCCGTGCCTGCTGTAGGAAATGAAATGGACATTGACATAACATCCAATAGTTTTGAAGAAGGTGATGTTGAAATCGGTCCATTGAAAGAATTAACCGATGGGGAAAACCACGATCAGCAAAACGATGGTGGTAATGGTGAAAGTAAATCTCGACCACCGATACCTAAACTAAAAATAACTCGCGGAAGATCTAGTAAATCTAGTAATACTGTGACATTAGGGTCTAGCAATAATGCGCGAGATTCGTCTCATGACTACGCAGTTACGCCAAATAAGAAGGACGATAAACCGAAGTACAGAGCGACTGTCAATAGGAGATTTGGTTTCACGCGTGGTATGAAAAAAGAAGATAAGACTATAAAAGAAGAAAAGGTAGATGGAGTGGTTAGAGTATACTCTACTACGATCCCCCAAGGAAAAGTGTATCTTAAACGAGTGCAGACATCCGCTATAGAGAAGAAAAAGAAAAGAACACCAGTAAAATATCCTCTCTGTTCATCATTCCACACCAAAAGCAAAGCTAAAACGATTATGGTTTTACCGCATCACGAATTACGAAAGCTCTGTAGACAATCTGGCCTCAGCTCCGTGACTGGGTTCAGTCATAGCGCAAAGCCTAACCAGTCGGTGTGGCCGTACCCCTGCGCCAGGCCGCTGTTCAAGACGTGCTGGCTGTACCGCACCGTGAACCTGCAGTGGCTGG